TGGCCGCCCTCCTGGGACTCCTGGGAGGTGAACGCGACCTGGGCGTCGCCGTACGGCAACGACTCGCAGCCCTACGACCTGGCGGGCGGGCTCCACGGCCACAACAACTGGTGGGCGCTCCTGGCGCTGTTCCTGGTGCTGGCCACCGCGGCCGGCAACATCCTCGTGTGCCTCGCCATCACCTGGGAGCGCCGCCTGCAGAACGTCACCAACTACTTCCTCATGTCGCTCGCCATCACCGACCTCATGGTGGCGGTGCTCGTCATGCCCGTCGGCATCCTTACCCTCGTTAAAGGTGAGTCCAGGAGGCCCCCCCTCCCCACTCCCGAGCCCCTGTCACCGACGGGATAGACCGACCCGCAGGACACGTGTGCGTTGCGGTGGCCTACCACCCAGGCGCTCCAAGCCGACGCGACGCGCCCGTTTGATGTACCTACGGGAGGGGCAACCCACGGCAACCCATTAGCAAAGTTTTTAATAGTACCGTGGTATGCAGGTGAGGTAAACAACATTAGACTTAATTTCCAAACCGCGTTTTTGCAACAGACAGGATGTATCACGGACTTGAGGCACTGTAATTTCCGCAAGAATGTGCATAATTATAACGACGAATTCCCGGCGACAAGCTGAAGCGTTTTTTTTTGTTTTTTGTTTTTTGAGCAAAAACAAGCCCTAATTTGTGCTGTGAAGCATATTCCGCTGGACTTTTTTTTCCTCGGAAGGTCCTTTCAATAAGTCATCAAACGGGTCCCACACGCGACGGCGTCAACATTCATGCGGCGGACAAAGAAACGGCATCGTCACTCGGCCCGCCGAAACTTGCCTCATTATGAGTTGCTAAACCACAGGGGGGTGTCGCAAGTAGCGGCGCGAGAAGAAGTGGAGTGAGAAGCATGAGGCTCTTTAGGGATCGGGCGTGGGCCGTAGGCAGGGCCCGGGCCGGGTCGGCTCAGCAACTTGGCCAAAGGTCGCGCCGTAAAAGTTTGCTTGCGGTGGGACACCTTTATCGTCCTTTGCTTCCCTCTGGGACGGCACGCCCCGTCACGTCAGGGCACGCCCCGCCACCCACCACGCC